CACGAGAGTGTGCGTTTGTAAAACAAATTCAAATTACTAATCAAGGGTAAGGGTTCGGTTAGAAAAAACGTTTTGAAGTATTCTCATTATAACCCTTTCGATAACAAATTAATGGAGTGGTATTAAGATATAAAGCAAGGTTAATTTAATCCAATGAACACTCATATTCATCAAATCACGTCAATGTTTTCATCTGATTCATGATCAAACATTATCAACCGGCAATGCATTGCACGGTCAATCGTTAAAATTACTGACCGGCTATTGGCCAATCAGAATTGAGAAATTCAATCGAGTATATAACAAAAGTGTAGGTTTTGTATAGCAATACGTACTTTAATACCCTTTGCATTCGTTCGACTTTGCTTCTCAAAAGAGAGCTTCGTCTTCTTGTAGTTTTTAACTAGACGCGCAGGGTAGTACTTAAACGAAATGGCGTACATTTCGGGATACCTGTACGGTTTGTAAGATGAATATATTCATATACAATATATCGAGAACTAAAAAAGGTTTAAGTCAGTCTGTTCACGATCTCGAAATAAAGGGCAGATGGTGTGTGTGTTCATACTGGGTACTACACAAGAAGTGTAGAGTGCATGCCATCTGCTACAATACCCTTACCTACTGCTTACCAAAGTGATCACACTTGCATATGGAATAGAAAACAAACGTGATCAGTCTCAAAACGCAAATGTACATGAATCGTACATGAATATGATGTTGAAACGTTATTACTTGTGACCTTATACATTATTTTTTAAGTAGATATTTTTTATTGGCAGGGAATTGAACTTCACTCAGGGTGCGAGGATAACCAAACTGTACCACATGTTCCGTTCAACATTCTCGACGTTCACATAACATTTTAGTATAATGTTTTATAAACATACTCGATGGTATATCGAAAACGTGTCAATAGTCATGGTTGCCTTAACACATCAATTTTATTCCCCTCCCATTGCGATGAGGATCCTACCTTCGTTCTACCCTAAATCACAAATGAATACTGGTATTGTTTGTTACCAATCAACATTTCCGGAAATTTTGCAGTTGAAACGGGAATGACTGAACAATACCGTGTTGAAAACTAATGTGTATTTTCTCCTTCAACATCATCATTCAAATATCTCCCTCAATATATCACCTAGTATCTCCTTTAGCATCATCATTACCAAGACTATGTATGGTACATTATTACAAGTATAGATTACCACGACACACAGGCATTTTCCTCACAAATATCTTTACCATACTAAAAGTCCCAAACCAGGAAATTCAAGAGACAAAGTAGTGTAAGTAAATACTATGTTAATTATATCGTAGTCCTGCATCAAGCCCCTACTATACTTTTACCGAGAATCAAGGCAACATTTACTTACATTATTTATGCACTGTTCTACATATAAATAAAAAACTGTTTATAAAAAATGATATATTATCACATAAACTTTCGACTAGAAACATTCGTATGATTTTTATATGTGACTAAAAATAAAATTAAATTGAAATATTTTAAGAGTTCTTAAGTCTTACCTAACAACATATTTTTGCTACTCTTTGTCCGTTTCAAATACCAGAGGCTACATAGAGTTATATATTATAAACTATATATCACAATCGGCCCACACACGTTATATATATATATCCATCCACTGTTTTTTACCACTACTAGAGACGTATACAAAATGTTGTTATTGGTGATGAGTGTTTCCTCACACTGTACTATTGCAGTACTAGACATCAGAAGTGATCAAAACATCCGGTGATTTTCGGGGGGGGGTGCTCATTATAGTTGCAGTTGCAATATGTCATCAAGTTGATTGAGTGTTGGATAGAAATTCATATGATATCAATGTGTCTGCGTGATGATGAATTAGTGGGAAGCTGTGATCATGATTTAGCTAATGAAGTAATCAAATTATCAGTTTCGGTTTTAAAAACACTGCTGTTGTGTGTATTCGTGATGATAGAGTTTTTGGACCAATTACAATCAATATTTGGCTATATCCAGTTATAGATAGAGAGTGAGTAGTCTTGCTTAAAAGACCCTGTATCCCCCCCCCCTTTATCCTTCTCTCTATCTCTGCATATTGCCAGGTAAAGAGAGTGAAGGTGACGGGGGTGGTGGATACAGTCTTTGAGTAAGACTAGAGAGTGAGCTTTGAAAGTTGGACTTCGCTAGCAATTCTGTTCATTTTCATACTCATCACAATTACTTGTACATCCTTCTGTTTTGAATCTAGTAACATACTTGCTTCTTAAAAGCAAATTGATTGAAGGCACTCGAGTTCTATGATCCTGGACATAAGCTCGTTTTCATCTATATTAGACCCACGATTAGACCTTACCATCAATTTCCGAAAAAACGTTTTTTGGCAGGATACTTGTTTTCAAAGATGGACATCGACTGTTACATAACGTAACAGAAATGTGTCAGAAAATGACAAAACTGCATATTTTGATTGTTTTGCGTTATACTGTTCATTGGGATTAGCAATTGCGCAACAACTTATATATAGACAATGTCGATATTTAACTCATGGTATTATTTGTGCATTATACACGATATAATTATAATGTAAATCAATCAGACTCCAATCTTAATATTATAACTAAAATACTTGTTATATTATACTTGAGTAACAGTATCTTATAATGTGACCAGATATTCCAGGGTAAAATGCAAATACCTACGTCAATATTGCAAAATGGACTGTTCGCTTTTCTTATGGTTTTCACCTGTTTTCCGAACGAAGGTACAAACTACAACAAATAATCCATCAACATTATCAGTCCTAATATTATCTGTAATTCTGACAGTCATGGTATGATTAATTAAACAAATGAGCTTTTGTTTATTGTAAAGTAAATACCATTGACACATCAGCTGAACTTTTTTGAAGGGTTTGAAAAGTGAAATGCATCCATGCGAACATGGTACACAGTGTGATGCGTTTACAACTCGTTTGCATATATCATAAGAATCAAATGTAAATCAATATGGTCGAGGACTGCTCACTCTGGAATTCAAATATTGTCATATCAAGAAGTCTAAAACCTACCATTTCCTATAGCTTAATTTTGCCTCCTAAAAGAGATGTTCATTCACGAAATGTACCAAGCTCAGGCACAAAGGATATCTTAAACGAAGTATGATATTCTGATTTACCAGTCTCTCTATTTAACTACAGCCCCGGGGCTAGATCCTTGCGAGAGATCGTTGCTTACAATTTGTTCTTAGTATGGGCTGTGTATCAAAATAAATTTTGGGATTTGTTCGAACGTGCCATTATTTTTATTGATCGATCACTGAAGCATTCCATTATAACTACAAAACAATCTGTTTTGGTTCCTTTGCAAGCGAAAAATAAATTAAATATTTAGCACATGAGGTTTGTGACCTCATATACAACCGGTTGCAGACCGTGGGTGAAAGGAACACCCAGACAGCAAACTATCCGTGGGTGTGAACTGTGAATCGGTCTCAAACAAACATGGGCACCAAAGAAATAATTTAACATATCTTTCCCGATGAGGAAAATATATACAAATTATTATCTATACTAACAAAATGTCTTTAACATTTCATATTTTCATATTTCTTAAGTGAAGCGAAATGTTAATTTCAAAAGAGAATGAAGATTGAAGACTGAGCTTTGATGCATATCAATATGATAAGTAATAATTCTTTATTTGTTCTTATAATTTGTTCCATTAGGATATAAAGAGATCAATTCATCTTTATTTGTAATGCTCAAATAGCGAAGTAGGCCAAGAGTGTTAGGTATTGATTCATAATTTTGTCTCATTAATTATACAGGTACTAATCCCTATTAATTATGCATGGCAGTTTTCTTTACACATACCAAAACATGGGCTGGTATGTATGTATCTTTGAAAATGAAATCCTGACAACAGTGACTTATGAGGTGACGAGTATAAGGAGGAAAATAACGTCAAGTTCTATTTTTAATGATATGCTTGTTTATAGTTGTTTGAATTTTTCTAATTCAACTTATTCCTGGTTGCCTACCTAGCCGATGACAAATAGAGGGAGATGGTATTTACAGACTCAATGATCGTCATTAATGAAGTGAATATATCCTCAATCCAGATAGTTTTACTTAACTTTTAAGATTATTTTATTACTATATTTTATTACTAAGATTGATCATCTTGAATTAAAAATCAAACTCATAAGCCCAGATTGCGATTTTTCATAATGTTTATCAAAACAGATATAAATATTAGTAGAAACCACGTAATTGAACATGCTTTGGAAAACAGACGTTGTTGTCTTGGAGGATGCCAGTTATTTGTAAAAACGCTATCTCTTTGCTATTTTTGGCAGTGATACGTTTCTTATAGTTTAGGACGTTCTGGCTTTTTCTTTGTATTTCTTTTTCATCCTATAATCTCAATTCACTTTTAAGGTTTCATCGAGCATGTGCTTTATATTGTTAATGTTTAATAGTAATATAATATGTTAGTCCGTAGATACCAGTTAGCGCAATCATTAATATAATGACTGAACATGTTGTAAACCATTATCGCAATGTACTCAATTATAAATATGTATTTTATATATTCGAAAACACTATCAGCAATCATGTAATCGCCTCTGGCAGGCGTTGACAAACTGTAATGTTTTTATTCCCGTATAAAGTAATATTAAAGAGGCCACCTGGCGGTTATTAGCTGTACTTCGCTTCAAACAAAGGATCTCACGTAATTATTGATATGCCTATATAGAATTGTTATTGCAAAACACGTGTGAGCCAATTCGTTATTAATAAAGCTTACTCCAGTTATATTAAATTAGATCTCTAATTTTCTCAAACCTAGCGCATCGTGGATTTATATTTGATTTTTAATTTAGAAGCTTACCATGAACGCGATTTTCTCGAAATAGACACCATATTGGAGTGGTAAGATACGTGGATCGTAGACAATACAGAGCAAAAAATAGGATTCTGGCTAATATCTAACGTTTAACTTACCGTCTGTAGGTAATGATGGGGTTTCCATGGAAGGCATCAGTGGTAGTGAATCTACGCTATATAAGTCCTAGTCTCCTCTCTCTGGAGATCGCTGTCGATCCCTCGATTCACAAGATAATATTATTCTAATGTATGGAGCTCTGTGCTACTTGCCTATACTGTAGCACTAGCCTCATTTACACACTGTTGTATACTTGGGATCGAAGCCGCAAAATGTAAAGTCCGTGTACCCAATCTGTATAATTCTCACGTTTCTATGGCAACCTTTAGTCGCTAATGTCAGTTTCATAGGAAAATGTCACTTCCAGAGAGTACATAAGAGAAATATTTACTAGGCTCTCTCTGAATCGGAAAATTCCTGAATTAACCTTTACTCTAGCTATGGAGTGGTCTGTCTCGATCTGGCTTCAAATGAATGGCTCTAAACAATGGTCCCCGCTTTCTATTGTTGTGCGTGGTTCCTGGTGAGTCTCAGCCGAGAGTTTTGCTGTTGTTAACGGGTTCTTTGTAGAACTGACAGATCTGTCGTGTGTGTTTGGAACCAATGGGTTGACCAAACCAGTATTCAATCAGTATCTCAGTGCTAGCGCTAATTAGTATCTCTATGCAGCGTGTAATGTGATTCATAATTAGACCAGTATCAGATGTTGGTTGGTCGGTGTAAAGCAAGGTGGCGCAACCAGACCCCTTATTTTGACTGTTTGGTGTCTTTGTCTTAGCTGCACTACTTAGTCCACCACCTGTTTCCGAAATGTGAATTGGACGGATTTAATAATTATGTAAATATTACCCCCTAACCTGGTCTTGTCTTGCATTGATTACAGTGATTGCATGATCTGAAAAATAGTTTTACTTTTAGTAGTCAAAATTGTCAGATTTAATAGATCTGTATGAATAGTTCACTATACTATACCAGCGTTCTATGTATCATTGTTTGAATGGAGCAACGCTATTTATTGGACACCACCAAATCATTTGTATCAATTATAAACAGACGACCTTGAAATTTTTATTTAATACAGCCAAATAAATCCTGTATTATGATAGAGTTGAAAAAATCGAAATGAAATACCTAAACGGCGATCAAATCAAAGAGTCTTAAGTGATGAAAAATTACCATGGAATACGATGAATAGCGCGTTTGAAGATACAATCAATGCCCTTTTATAGAATAAGATGTAGGATTATTTGACATTGCATTAATTATTCTGTCCTTCCATTTATCAATGCATGGATTACATAGGTAATCACAACATTTCTGTACTACAAATAGACATTGGTTTGCACTTTATAAAATATATGAGTTGTAATAGGTTCCATGCAAAAATCAATTAATATGAAATGTCTTTGTCAAAGAAGGTCCTTTAAAGGTAAACTTTGAAGTAATGTAGACCTTACAAAAAATCCAAGTGACTTCGAATTGTACGTTGTCAAGAAAAACAAAAGTATATGAATTATTATCAGCAATCAAACAATACTTTAAATGGTTACTGACAATTCCTTAAAGCAGTTAGTAATAAGTTTAGTAAACATTATGTCCATACATTCATTTCTGACATGTAAATGTAAGATTTTGTGAAGGAGCTGAAAGGCAATCAGAGGTCGCATGGCAGTCGCGTGCGACAGCTGGTTAAAATGATAACAAAACCTTTCAGTTCGTTTTCAGCTGCCTTCTAATCAGAGCAATTGGGTACAATCAAGCACTCGATGGGTAATAGTCAGTGTACCTGTAGTATTTGTTGGATTGGAGTTGATATTATTGTAAAACCACAATCAGTGATTTTGGAACACCGGTCATTTTTCTCTGATCTGTAGCTGATGAGATAACATTCTTATTATGTTATCCTCATAATATAATACAGCGTAAATGTTTAAATTTATAAATAAAGAAGGAAAAACAAGTTCTTGAAAAGGCTAATCTTACATTAAGTCTCTGGGTGTGGTCCCCGTGTATCTTGAATTCCCTGTGATTACCCCAGTTCTCTACCCAGAAAAACGTAATGGGGGGAGGGGGGGGGCAAGGGATTGATTAGGGTTTGCTGACTGTCTCAAATCATAAAAAATGTCTCAGATGATAATAGTATCATTAACTTTGTGTATTAACTGTCTTCTTACAAAAAACAATAATAATATAATAATAGTACTGTCTTATCTGTGTATTTAATGTCTTACATAATATTTTTATGTTATTATCTTGACCAAGGACGTCAAGGTTGACGTCCTCGTCTTGACCAAGGACGACAAAAAGAAGGTCGCCTTTTCATATAATTGTAATTATATCATATACCGCTGTGTATTTTATACCACAAACTTGGAAGACTACCATGTGTACTTTCCTTTGCAAGTCCCTGCTTAACAGCATGTCAATTGACATGCAGTTTTTACAGAACATCCTTTACATCAGATGATTCTCTGGTCAGTTTATCAAGAACATCTAATATCCTGGATTGAATAAGGGCGTAAGCTGCAAAACATGCTTAGCATCTGTAATAATAAAATGTTTTGTTGCTAGATAGATGATTCTGAGTGTAGAAGGCTTATTCTCTAAAAGCAGGAATTCAGACTCTGGGACACCTCGCACTCTAAGACGGAGGAAGGGACACAGTTGATGATTTCTGAAGCATGGATCCGTGTCGCGTACGCAATTGAATATGTGACTAATTCTAGCTCGAGTCAGCTAGGGGGTGAAAAGATTGCAAGCAACATTTAAGACTAATCAAATCATCTCCTTCACTTTTAAAATCTAGCCAACATGTGATGTCTCAAAAATGATCAATGTATATTGTTGATTAAAGGCATGTACGAAAGGAAACATTTATTTGTGCATCACACTTTAAAATATTCTGCCTCTCTTGTAAGCTTTCAGTAAATATATTAAATCATAAGATATGCCTATTTTCGAAGTCCAACAGTTCTAAGTTTAAGAATCGAAAGAGAATGTCCCTTTTTCAATTCTTTGGAATTTAGACATAGATGCATCTTAAATCATGAATAACATTTATATATCATGTTTATTTCATTAGATATCTCATTTATTAATTCAGAAAATAAGATTAGGAATTGTAAGAAAGATATTGGCATAATTTTTGAAAAGTTTGCTTCCGATATTTTATCCTCTGTAATGCATATCTCTCCCTTCAAATTCATTTAAAATGAAGTTATTGAAAGTTATTGATTTATTGGCAACCCATTTGAGCAAAAAATCAATAAAATGTCATGTAGACATCCACATTTATTATTTTCAGAACGAAATTCATGAATATTTCTGTCTTTAAATTCCCTATTTTAGCGTTTTTTTCGTTATTTACAGGATGACAAGGAATGGCATGACAAGGAATGATATGAGACTGTAGATATTGTATAACCTATTTTGGGGGAAGTTACTCACTAGATCCGATTATATTGTTTTTTCAAATTCAATTAATGTAGAAAATACAATAAATTTATTCTCTTATCCATGAGAGGATACATTTATTCATTTGCTTTTTTATCTCAGTTTCAGTCCTACTGTAACATAAAACTACAGCGGTGACATCACAAACAAAAAATTGCGGTAAATCGAAATTTTATTTTATCAGGATGATCAAGCAACCATTCACTTTTCCTTATGATTATGTATCTTGTAATATTAATATTTTTATATTAAGTATCATGATATTGTATAGCAAATATGACCCAACACGTGTTGCCATCTATTAATATTAGTACTTACTATTAACACCCCAGTCACATTTGTCGTACAGAGGCCGTGCGTCGACCGCAGATCAATTAAATCAGTGAAATTCTGCGGCGAGCGTAGAAAAACTACGCTCGCCTTGCGGTCTCCGTACGGCGTATCCAGTTTTTTTACAGGCACAGAAAGGTCCAATTGTGGCCGCACGTCGGATTTGCCGTTGACTTGCGTCTGCTGTAGGGTTTGATGAGTAATGTACATTTGGAAACAGTTTTTATGTCCGTTTTCGGTCATATATTTGCTGTAAACACAACACAAAACGTATACTGTTTAATATAAGGTGTAAGGTCACTGATACCACAGCAACTTATATTTCACTTGCACTTTTTATTCGATACTATATCGTAATCCTTAATCAACAGAAATTCAAAAACTCGCCGTGCGACTGCCGTAGAAAATGTGACTGCAAAAGTATCCGACCGCAGAAATTCCACGGCGAGCGTAGAAAAGTTACTGACCGCAGAATTAATAGACCGCACGGTCGCCGTAGGAAATGTGACTGGGGTGTTAGTGATGATAGAAATTATTCTGTCTACGTACTATCGTAATACCTGATGTATCATTACAAAATCATACCCTGAAGGTAAACCATATTATACTAGGCTCTTAATAGGGAAACAATCCATGTTTGATGCTTGGTGGTGAAAGATCCAGAGTAGTATTTACAAAATGCTAGCTACCACAATTTGGAACAAAAATAAATGCAAATAAGAAAGACAAGTCACTCCTCACAAACGTTGAAGTAATTCAATAATCTATACATTTGTTTTATCTATTTGTTATTTCTTTTATTTATTACACATATAATTTATTACACATCCTGTGTCACAGTTACAGTCTTACCAACCGCTTCATTATTTGTATATAAATAGAATATTGTATACTCAATACAACATATATCAGGGTTTATACCACTCTAAGTCCAATTACAGTTGTATAACATGGGTCTATAACAACGATATACAGTGGAGAGTGGTATATCGTCATCGTATACAACTCCTCCGTATACACTCCAGCGTATACCACTGTAGAAGTGCATTCTGGGAACTAATGAATAAAAAAATCATGAAAATTTTCATGATTTCCTAGAATCAAGTGACGTCATAAATGGTTCCGGCATGATTTGCTAGAATCAAGCCACGTCATAAATGGTTCGAGATCAACATCAGCATTATTGAGTTGGCTATGGGATATTTTTATGGTTTTTAATTGTTATGATTGTGTTCGAATCAACTGTACTTGAACTGAGAGTGGCATAATAAGATTATATAATGGTTCATTCTGTATATCGTGCATTTTATACT